CAGTGGTGAATTAGGGAATTAATTCTTCATTTAACATGTCAAACTGCATTTTTTTTAGCTGCATTAACTTTTCTTTGAATTATATGGGTGAGAGGGTGCATGATGGGAAGAGCTGGAACTCACTGAGCACCCAAACATCCAGTGTCTTTCTAACAGATAAGAACCATTAGAATCTATTAGTGGAATAATAAAACAAGAAGGTTGTAAGAATATTCTTTGTGAAAGCTGAAATAAAAATAATGCTTTCCTCTTACATCTGTCAACATCAAACAGAAAAATGATTTGATGTGTAGATGAAAGAGTTAATCAGAGGATCAACAAGAACAGGCCAAAGGGAATGAGTGGAAGAGATGCAAACTGGGTTTGTTGTCATACCAGAAGGGATATGATGTAAAAATTTGGTATTACAACTCCTAATCATCTATTTACACAAGCATTGGTCCTTTCTGAATGTACAAACAGTGGAAACCAGGACCAAATTCCACAAAACCCTTAATTTCTCTGTCTCCTGTTCCTCTTAAAAAAAAGCAATTTATGCCTTTGGGGAAGACAGTTTTTTAAGATTAGGCAATCCCTAATCCGTTCTCCCAGCCCCCCCTTTCCGTGCCCTTGGGTAATTGGATATTTTGCATGTAGCAGAGCTATTCCAGGCTGTTTCCATCTGGGGGCTGAACAAGTGTTCTGCCTTCCTGGAGCTACTTCTTCAAAGGCCTTCTGTTCTGTCTCATGCTGTTTTGCAGAGATGTGGTTTAGGAAGCTCCTGCTGCCTTACAGAACAATCAAACCCCCACAGCCCAGACAGTATGTTTGAAGGATTGCCAAAGCACAAAAGTGTGGGCAGAAAACTTTCATCAAAACAATATGTGGGGTCCCCTTCCACTCAGGAGTTAGGAGTTACTCCTTCAAGCACAATGACTTTCAACTTTGTTATGCTGTAGTAGTTCAAAACATTGTATTGTTGACTTTTGCTACAAAATGCTGTGATTATTATTACTCTTAATTAAACCAACAGCAGCAAATCACTTTATAACAGCAGCAGGGGCTCAGATCTAACTGTTTTTGTGGATTCCTGAGGGTCTGTTTCTCAAGTTGCTGTTACTGTACGTGGATGATAAATCATCCTCAGGAGGATGCCTAGTTTGTTTCTTTAATATTCATGCTTTACCAGTTGACAGGCAAAAACATAGGTGTGTGACATGAATAGCACTTTTTAAATGTTATTATGGTTATTAGTTAGGTGTTTGATGTGTTTTGAAACATGTCAAAGCTCTTATATAATCCCATAAAGAGTTCTGTGTGGAACATCTCTCACTATCCTGCTCAGTTGTTTTATCTACACAGGTCAGTATTTCACAGGGATGCTGTGGCAGAGCTGATAATTTAACTAGGTGGGGCTTGTAGCATTATTTTTATGTTCCTGGCATTACAACAACCAGATGGGCACTTTGGCAAGTAACTTTGCTTTAGGGTGCCTTAATATATTAATTTTTCTGGGGGGCTTATGTCGCGTTTTTTTAACCTACATCTGAAAAGTGCTATTATTACTATTATAGTTAAAAGGAGGTATGACTTTATTATTAGTTAATAATAAGTAATGACTAAAGGGAGGTAGGGCTGGATAGTTTCTAGTTTTAAATATGACTTTCCTCATTTTTTTAAGCATAGCTCAGACCGCCCCCCCCTAATGTTGCAGGTCAAGACAGAGCTGTGTGGGAACCTTGCACAAAATCTGCCTGTATAACCAGCTCTCCTCAGTCCTTTTTAATCCCTCCTTTTCTTGAGAGCCAAGCACATGCAGCTAATGTGAGCTTCAGTCTTATCTGAAGTAAGTATTGTAGTGTTTTTCTGGAAGAAAACAACTTTAAAGGCTGCTGCTATTGCTTGAACTTTTAAATAGGTGTATCACTGCTGTTTGTGCAACTGTTACAAACTTAGGAACATCAGGCCAAAGGGGCAAAAGGGAAAAGATTCTAAATCTACCCCTCATTTTAATCACTGAAGGTCTGGTATACTCTAATAATTGGAACCAGAGTATTTCACTGTTTAGAAATAATCATAAGTGTTTTATTTGCAGAGATTTTCCTGGGGCTTAGGGCCCATTTTCTGCAATATGTCTGTCTCCTCTCTTAAGAAAATGAGTGAAAATGGAAATTGAGATGCTCACTGGTTTACAAGAAGTGCAAGGCATTTAGGAGTCTTTTGCTCCTGGTTTTATGATCTGTATGCTCTAACGTTTTGCCTTTTATTTACCACACTTTCTTCCCTGTGTGACATTGGTTGCAGCAGTAATTGGAAGTTGTGCTACTCATCATTCAGTGCTCCCTGCAAAGCAAAATTAGTTCCATTTCCATTTCTAGTCCCGAGGTGTCTATAGCACAGATGTACCATAAGGACTATTGCAAAAGCCAATAGACTTGGACATTAAATTGACATCTTCACTTCTGATACAGTTCCTCTGTGTCTGGTAAAGCCATGCTGACATGGCAGTTTTTGGATGACTCAGGTTCTGTGATGGGTACAGCCCTCTCAGAGCACAAGGGAGACATTTGCTGGGGAAAACAATTATTTCAGAGACATGCAGGGAAGAATAAATCTCTTTACTACAAAGACTCCCAACCACAGGGAAGAGAAAATTGGAAGTTGTCATCATTGATCTAACTTGTGATAATTTGTCATGTGCTTTTTTCCATTTCAGAAGTTGTTGAAATGCAATCTTCCATGAATTTAAGCATCTATAAACAACTTGATAAACCAATCTCCCTAATGTCTCTATCTCAGTTGTTACAGGGATATTAAATAAGGTGTAAGTGGATGTTGTGCAAATATAGATCTTACTGGAAAAGTAAAAGATGATTGTTTTGGGGTGCTGTTTAAAACTACACTAATGCATTCCTTGTAGGAATGATGGAACGGAATTTGGTGGCTCCATTTACCAGAAGGTGAATGATAAACTGGAAACTGCTGTGAATCTTGCTTGGACAGCTGGAAACAGCAACACTCGCTTTGGAATAGCAGCCAAGTATCAGATTGACCCAGATGCCTCTTTTTCTGTGAGTCTTGTGCATGTACATTTATAAGCATTTGAAAATCAGTGCTCATATTTCCATGGCAATGGAAAGCAACCTTTGCCTCAGCCAAGTGTGGGCCGGATGCAGTCCTGGGCTGTGCAGTTGGCACATGTATCTATTTGTCTTGGTTTTGGCAGCCTGAGAGCACAGCTATTGGATTTTCCTTAAAAGAGACACAGACTGTTTTATTTTATGATTGGGCACTATTTTGAGCATGTTTTTGTGTCAGTCTGGAAAAAATTAAATCCAATGTTAATAAAACCAGTGACTGTACATTCTTTGAGATTTGGGGTTTGAGTTATGGCAAAATTAACTCTAGATTTTTTTTAAAAAAATTAAAACTTGAAATTTTACCTGCTTACAAGCTGCTGCTTAGTTTTCAAGTGGGAAGCACTTTGAAGAAAGATACTGGACTATTTGCTATTTGTTACTGAATAATCCTCTGGGTTTTTTTTCTTTTTAAGGCTAAAGTGAACAACTCCAGTCTGATCGGGTTAGGATACACTCAGACTTTAAAGCCAGGTACGTCTGTGCAGACAGAAATCAGGATCCATAAAGTGATATTTTAATCTTGAAATATCAGAAGTTTTCTTGGTGACAAAATGTGATTTGTTTTGTAAGATTGCAGTTCTGGTAGGGACTGCTCTGTTAATTTTGGTTGCTTGTTGGAGGCAAAATTATTAGGGACCAGTGCTCACTGCCCAGTCAGATACTCCTTTATGTTGATACAAAAGCTATCTATAATTAGGTGTTTCACAGATGTGTAAACACCTTTTTAATATTTTCAGAGGCTTCCTATTATTGAGTTTATTTTTCTTGAAAATGTGACTTTCCCAGTGTCCTCTGGCCCAGGACAAGGACAACCTTACCATGATGAAATTGGTTTAATGCAGTCTAATAAATGTGCTGCCAGAATACCAGGCTGATTGACATGAGATATTACAGTTGATAGGGTTTGGGCTTTTTCATACCTAGATTTTAAAGTGGTTTAGAACAGTGGGTATGTATGAAGGTCCCAATTTTTCATAATACTGACTCTAAAATTAGATTAATCAGTAGACCAGCAGCAGTGAATTGACTCAGAGCTTTAATTACTCAGAGTGATAAAGAGCAGACTCTATCATCATGGTTTATTATAAATTTCATAATTCAGACAGATTTCTTATCTGCAAGTTGTTGTAAAATGCCCAGTCCTTACAAGGCCAGCTGCCAAATCCTGTTAGCCTGGCCTCCCTATAAATTAAAGACACTGCCCTTCTGGACATAAAGCTCATTCCAGGCTGTAAGTTGTCTTTTCTCTCTCTTTTCTCTGTTTTGCAGGTATCAAACTGACATTGTCAGCTTTGTTGGATGGCAAGAATGTCAACGCAGGTGGACACAAGCTTGGTCTAGGACTGGAATTTGAAGCCTAAGGAGTGATTTCACAATGGCTAATCTGAAAATACAGCATAGCTACCTTCAGAATATAGTGTACCTTCAATGTTTTGTCTGGGGTGCAAGTATTGCTACGTATCAGTCCTGCTAGTCCTGGGTAAAGACAGCTAAGCTTTAAAAATGATGTTGTTAAAGAAGTGGAGACAAAAGCATTAAAAAAAAATCCTAATTCCAGGCTTTATTTTTTTAAATGTAATTGCTCATCACATCTGTCAGCTGCCACATGATAAGAAGTAGGAAGGTGTTGATTACCTCTACTAACGTATCGATCGCACAAGGAATGTGTTAATGCGGTACAAAACCTGAGATGGTAAGAATTACAAACCACTGTGTTGTACTGTTAATTCCATAAGCAAAGTGTTCCAGCACTTGAGGTTTCGATTGACGAGGGAATGTGCAAACTTGTCTGAAAAAGGGATTATAATGCTTTATTATTTTTTTTTTGGTTATGTATTTCATGAATGGTTTGTCTTACTTGGTTACCCCATGCCTCCAGCTGTCTCCAGAGTGCTTTAGGTTGTCCACGTTGTCCAAGTCCGTTGCGGAGGAGGTTTGATGTGACTCAGCCAATACTGCCTGTCCTGTGTTGTGGTTCCTTTCCCTTGCACTGACCAGAAATCTTGTCAAATGGACATAATCAGGGAAGAGTCTTTGCAACTGCAATCACATAGTTGCATCACTAAATCTAAAATGGAGTTTTGTTTTATTACCACTTTTTTTTAGCAACTAAATGGGTACATTTTTAGAGAGTCTTCCATTTTGTGTGGAACTAGACCCCAAAATGCTGTACTTGACACTACTAAAAATGGATAAAAAACCCAAACCTGACTTGAATAAAATACTGAAATGTCACCTTTTACTTTGTCTTTCTATTAATTGTGGAAACAATTTCATATAAATTTGTGGCTGCAGAAGCAGACTGGCAACATCTTGCTGCATATTTTGTACCACACAAAGCAAAAATACTTAGCAGACGTAAATTCCAGACATGGCACTGTTCTCAATGCTCACTAAGCTCTGGTGACTGCACAGACACATGTTTAGCTCATGGTTAACACAAGATAACATGTTTATCTTTTACTGCAGAATTCACCAAGTTGCATTGCCTTTCTATAAACAAGTAAGTGTGAGCAAAGAGCAGTTACCAGTTGGGATAAACTTCAGTGACTGTTGGTTAGTGTTTTGTATTTTCTCATGTGTAAGCCATCGCTGTGGGTGGCTGCAGATGACAAGAGCTGTGGTACAGGAGGATCTGCCTGATGAGGCAATGGCATTGTGATAGTGTGAGACTGCAGGGCCACCCCAGCAACGACCCACACGTTGTGCAGTGCTGTCTGTCTTCCCTCCTACAGGAACCATTCTGGAGTATTTCCTGGTATGCCAGGAAAATCTCAGGTATTTATCCCAGCACTCCTGGCTGAAGTCATCCTCTTCCAAACTTCACCCATCAAATGAGTCCCATGCAAACAGCTCACAGCAACATAGAATCATAGAATTTTAGGGGTTGGAATGGACCTTATAGAGCATCTAGTCCCAACCCCCTGCCCTGGCCCTACCAGAACAGGTTGCTCAAGACTTGATCAAACCTGGACTTGAACAGTGCCAGGGTTGGGGTGTCCCCAACCTCCCTGGGTAACCTGTGCCAGTGTCTTTTCCACCCTCACAGTAAAAAACTTTTTTCTAACCTAAATTTCCCCTCCTTCAATTTGAATCTGTTCCCCCTTGTCCTGTCACTGCAGTTCTTAGTCCCTCTCTGGCTTACGTTCCCACGTGCTGTGTATGTCCTGTTTTCTCAGCATGCCCAGAAGCCTTTGGGCGCCTCCTCCTACCTTTCTCATGCCCAAGGCATCTGCTTTGGCCATTTTTCCCCCATGACCAGCATCACACCTTGTCTTAGAGCATGGAATGCCTGACCAGGGGTGAGAACAGGAAAGGCTTTTCCTGTAACCTATCCAAATCTGCAAAAAGCATGGCATGAGACACAGGGCACAAAGCCTGATCGGATGTGTGTGTAGGCTGACAAACACCTTCCCTGGGCAGCAGCTTCATGCTGGGAGTGTGTGTCCAGCGCTTCACATCACCCTCCGTGAGGAGAAGGAAATTCCCTATGTTCTGTCACGGGCTGGGGGCTCTCCTGGGCCCTGGCAGTGGTGCCAAGAAAACCTGGAAAAGAGCTACACACAGACTTGAAGCTCTGAGCAGCAGGTATTTGTTTATTCAGCTCCAGGCACAAGGGGGATCATTCCACCAAACTTGTGCACCAAAGAGAACACTTCTCTGGTTTATAGGCATTAAAAACTCATTCATTATTTCCAGGAAGAGGTGGTCATTATTACAGTTAGTTCTCAGAAATCATTATCATAATCTCCTCCTTCATCTCCTCCCACTTGGCATTAATCGGATGGTCTCTGGTGGTCGCCTGGGGGGTTGTCAGGAGGAAGGCTGATATTCTTCATCAGATTGAACCTTTCACCTTTGAGTTTGGCACATGCTTTTTGCTCTTGCTCTGTGCTGCCAGGTCCTGAGTCCAGTTGCATCTAATTTTACTTCCCTGTAAATACATTGTGTTTATGCTACCTAAGCTAAAATAATGCCCTAAGTCCTACACTTTCCATGTTTAATAAACTAAAACAATGTCTTATTGCTCAGCCTTTTACGTTCTGTTTATTTGGGTGCTCTCCACTTAATCTTATATCCTACCCTCAGTCTTTACTATTTGGTTCCTGTTATCAGTGGCTCTGAGGACACCTGTGGTGCTGTCACGGCTCTATCTCGACATGTGTGTCATAGAATCATCGAATCATGGAATTAACCTGGTTGGAAGAGACCTCA